AACTCCATATTGCAGTTTCCTGTGAACCAAGCAGAAAAAATCTTTTTCCAAGAACTCCATTCTCACAAAACTGCAAAGACTCCACACAGGAGATAAGGCTTATAGGTATAATGAATGTGAGAAAACTTGTCATCTTAAATCCAACCAGAAGAAATGTGACAATGGAACCAAGCAATTTAAATGTAGTGACTGTGAAATATCTTTCAACAAGAACTCCAAACTACTTGGACAGCAGAAAACTCACACACTAAAAAGGTCCTGTAATTGCAATGAATGTGAGAAATCTTTCAGCCACAGCTCCTCTAGCATTAGATATCAGAGTATTCACACGGGAGGAAGGCTTCATAAGAGCAATGAATATGAGAAATCCTTCATCAAGTGCAGTAACCTCAGTGGGCATCAGAGAATTTACACAGGAGAAAGGCCACGTAAGTTCAGTGAATGTGAAAAATCTTTCATGAACAATTCCCATCTGATTATACACCAACAAATCTACCCAGGTGAAAAGCCTTATAAGGGCAATGAATGTAAGAAATTCTTCAGTCAGAAGTCCACACTCAATATACACCAGAGAATTCACACAGATGAAAGGCTTATAAAGGCAATCAATGGGAAAAATCCTTCAGGAACAGTTCCCAACTGAATAGACACCAGCGAATCCACACAGGAGAAAAGCCTTATAAGTTCAATGAATGTAAGAAATCCTTCAGCCAGAGTTCCTATCTGATTAAACACCAGAAAAGTCATACAGATGAAAGGGCTTATAAATGCAATGCATGTGAGAAGTCCTTCAGGAACAGTTCCAATCTGGTTATACACCAGAGGATCCACACAGGTATAAGGTGTTACAAGAGCAATGAATGTGAGACATCCTTCAGTGAGAACTCCACACTCATTATACACCAGCGAATTCACACAAGTGAAAGGCCTTATAAGTGCAATATGTGTCAAAAATCCTTCAAACAGAGCTCCATACTCATTTTGCACCAGTGAATCCACACAGAAGAAAGGCCTTATAACTGCAATGAATGTGAAAAATCCTTCAGCCAGAGATCCCATCTGATTACACACCATAAAATTCATAGAAGAGAAAAGCCTTTTAAGTGCATTGAATGTGAGAAGCCTTTCAGTGATATGGCCACACTCATTGCACACCAGCGATTTAATACAGGAGAAAAGCCTTATATGTGTAATATTTGTGAGAAATCCTTCAGATATAGCTCCACACTCATTATACACCAGCAAATCCACACAAGAGAAAGGCCTTTTAAATGCAATGAATGTGGGATATCCTTCAGCAGGAGATCTCATCTGATTACGTATCAGCGAATGCACAAGGAGAAAAGTCACATAAGTGCAATGAATGTACAGAATCCTTCAATGAAAAGTCCACACTCATTAAACACCAGCAATTTCACACAGGAGATAAACTTTATAAATGAAATGAATGTGAGAAGTCCTTCAGCCATAATTCCCATCTGATTACACATCAATGAATCCACACAATAGAAAGGTCTTATAAGTGCAATGAATGCAAGAAATCACTCAGCCACAGCTCCTTTCTTATTATAAATCAGAGAATTCACAAGAGAAATGGGCCCTGTAAGTGCAATTAACATGAGAAATCCATTAATCAGAATTCTTCCCTTAGTCAGCACATGAGATTTTACATAGCAGAAAGACTTTCTTAGGTAATTAATAAGGTATATCCTTTACTCAGAGCTCTACCTTCCTTAAATACCAGAGAATCTATATTGAGGAAATGCCTAATTACTTCAATAAATGTGGTATTCTTTAGTTTGAATTTCAACTTCATTATTCTGTGTAATATTGACACCTATGAAAGATATTATGAGATATTTTTGAGTGTAGGGAATTTTGAAAATAATTTAGGTAAATATCATGTTTTACTTAAAATTCATATTGGAGAAATTCCTTTTAAATATAATCAGTGTAGAAAATAACTTAAGACAGAGATCTGGACACTTTCAACTTTTGGGAAGTCATACAGAAGAAAAACCTTAAAAGTGCTTAGAATGGGGGAGCTCTGGTGACCTAGTGGCAAGGAGCTGCAACTACAATCCCAGAGGCTCACGGTTCGAATCCACCAGATGCTCTGCTGGGGAAGGAGGGACAATCTCCTCCTGTACCAGTCAGATGTGATCTGACGGTACACTCACACAAAAATAATAAAATAAAATAAAAAAAAATAAAAAGTACTTAGAATGTAGGAAATCTTTTAGTCCAGCACCTGGCTTCATTTAATACATCTAGTTTCACAGAGTTTGCATAAGAAAAAAGATTTAGAAGAGAGGTGCAAATTGGACTGTTCTGGTAGATCTGAATTAATTATTCTACATTCATATATTCACTTAACGAACAATTTCCATATATTCTAGACCCATGAAAACTTCAAGAAACTGCACTGAATTTTCATATCTGTCTGAGATTCTTTTCTGAATGTCATTGCATCATTATCTATGCTATAAATTCTTTCATCTTTACCCCTTATAAAATCTTCACAGTGTCAATCTATTACCCAAAGTGCTCAGGGAAACAGATATTCCCATATTCTGGAGGAATTTGCTAGCATTAGGTTGAAGTACAGGAACATTCTACTCCCTTACAAGACAGGGCATAGACCTAACCCTAACCTAACACATAGGTGTCTCCTAACCTTCAATGTGCTGTTGCCTGACCTAATGGTCCATACATGGGACTACAGCAAATGGCATGGCATATGTCTTTTGTATATATTCTTCTATACATGTCCTAGTGATCATACATGTTTTATGTGCACAGCTATTCTCAAAACTTTCACGTCTGTGTATCTCATTTAATTAACCTTATGGTCAAAGACAATGACCAGGATAATGATACTAGAAATTTGGTGTTGGGGAGCTCTGGTGGCCTAGGGGCAAGAAACTGCACTGCAATCCCAGAGGAACACGGTTTGAATCCACCAGACGCTCTGCCGGAGAAGGAGGAGCAATATCCTCCTGTACCAGTCAGATCTGATTTGACGGTATACGCACACAAAATAATAAAATAAAATAAAAAGAAATTTTGTGTTAAAGCCCACGTGTAACTCATGATCATAACTAATTTGAAATGATCTTTGGATTCACAATAATTGTGTCAGTAAAGTAAGGCTGCTCTTCCTATGACATGAAGAGTGATGGTACAGTCAAATAGTTTTGCCACTTTGACTTTCTAGGGAGTGGCCTATGTTTTTATTTTTAACTCTTTTAAAATGTTTTTAAAATATTGTTAAATAGGAAATAAAATATATGTATGGAAATGTCTCATTTTTCAGTATTTATTATTATTACCATTATTGTCATTAGAAATATAAAGCAAATATTGTCAAGTAAATAAAAAGGAATATGGGAAGACAGACAAAAGGTAGACAAATATAAGGAAAGACACTTCCTTATCTTTTTCTTTACTTCATAATTCTTATAACTCATTGCTATAAAATCCTCAAAGTCATTGTTGTCAAGTCAGACCCTACTCAAGCTGACCTTCCAATGTGTCAGCTGTAAATGACATGAGAGGGACAGCTAGTTTTCCCCTGAGGAGCTGCTGGTGAATTCAGACCACATGCCTTTGAATTGGCAGCACAACTCTTTATCCACTAGGTGCCAGAGCTGCCTGTATTTATGATAGAGAATTCATAATTATTCTCATTAAATCAGAAAAAGCCAACACAGGATTTATTTAGCTAAATAAAACTGAAAGGAACTTATTTATATCTCTGATGATCTTGGATAAAAAGTGTAATCTAATTATATTTACAAGTACAAAAATGGGATGTGATTCAGAAATAGTAGACACAATTTTAAGACTCAAAGTAGCTATTTTTGATTGTTTGCTTACAATTAGTAGACTAGAAGTAGGAAGAGAAGTAGCAAACAAATAATAAAAGGTATCACATGTGGTAGAGGTAAGAGTGTTGAAAGCTGAGGAGTGTGGTGCACAAAGTCAAGGTAAGTAATTTTACTATTAATTTATAGAAATAGGTATGGCACAACTTGATTAAAATTAACTAAAAAATAATTGTATTAAGTTAAAGCTGAGTGGAATGGTTGAAGAAGAATGCAAGATAAAGTGCTCTTGTGGTAGTACCTTTTATCCAGGTAGCAGCAATTCCCCCCTCCTCCATTTAGCTTACTGCCATGTAACAAACTACCCCAAGACCTTGTGGTTTAAAATATCGAATGGAAAATTAAAGCAATCATCTCTTTTTCATCCATTTTAGCGGTCACTCTGGGTAGAATACAAGGTACAACACTAGATACTATAAGGTGAACTAAGTTGTTTGAGACCCTCTGAGATAAAAGAGGGGCCTAGGTTAAAAAGCAAAGCAAAACAAACAACTAAGAAAAACAGGTCAAAAGAATGCTATGAACAAGAAACATGCTGCTCAGCAAACAACTAAGAAGTCCTAAATTTTCACTGCTGGCTGATATCTATCTAGACTCACTATAAGCCTGGCTAAGTTGAACACCTATAGAGTAAAAAGAAATATAAATAAAAATATGTTTGTGTTATTTGTATGCTTAAACCATAAGGTTTCTACTCATAATATTCATGTGAATGAATAACAGTTGTTGCTTAGGTGATCTAGTAAGGAGTTGCAGTGCCAACTCAAAGACATCAACTCTCTGGTGGTTCGAATCCACAGAAGCTTGGACAAAGATGAGCATTCTCCTCCTGTGCGATTTACAACCTCTGCAGACCCCCTGGAGGGTCAGCTAAGTGTTCGTTCTGGCTTGAAAGCAAAGACTGAGTTTTGACATTTTTCAAACTATTGAAGTCTTGACATAACAAGTGTGGAGAACGGTTGAAACATCTATAAAGTCTTAGAATAGAGAATAACATGGCTGCCTGTTGGGCTTCCAATGCTTATAATTCTGTCCAATCCAAGATTATGAGACTTCACAGTGTATATATATGTTATGAGCACACAATGACAATTTCTCCAATTATTCACATACCTTAATCCTTGGAATTTTATGGGACAGCTGACGTTTTTCATTATCCATCTTGGCATATAAAGAATAGCTTGCATTCTTACTCTTTATAGGATATATCATGTGTGCAAATCTAACTGCAGTCTCTAGTGGTTCAATTCCATAACTGATATTCTCAAATTGTATCAATCCCCTAAAAATACCAACAATATAATACACATTTTAATTCACTGAGATGTCATGTACTGATATTAGAATACTTAATGTTATTTTCAATCTTTCCTTTAGGAAATACGGAGGGAGAGTGTTTCTGAACACTTATCAAATGGTACCAAATTGACACTGATACATGATGAATCTGAAATCATAATGTGATTCCTTATTCTCCATGACTAATAATGCTGCCCTAAAGTGTATCCCTACACTGTTAATGTCCCTGACACTGACAAAATTAAAAGAAACAAAATACAAATAAGCATTCTATTTTTACTTAATAAACAATTTCAAAACCTTAATCCGGAACAAGTGCTAATGGTCACCACAGAATTTGGAAAACCTTCAACATGACCTTGGTAGTTGCAAAGGTTCTAAAGGGGAAAAAAAGACAAAAATTAGTATATCTATAAAAGTAATTATTATTATTATTTATATCTTTCATATCTCTAGGAATTTAATATATCTATATGTATAAATTGCTTTCTAATATATAGTGTCTATTGCTTATGATTTACAAAATATCTTTGTATGATTAGTAAAATTTCATTGGTTCCAGTTGTTGTTGTTGTTGTTAAGTACCGTCGAGTGGTAGGCGACTCATAGCAACCCTATGAACTAAAGTCCGCAACACTTGTGTGACTTTCATCCTTTCTCCAGGTTCATAGAGTTTCCAGAGGCAAGCTATTAGGCTAGTGGATGCTATTCCTGCTTCCAAGCTTGTTTTAATCGAGGAGCTCCACCAAACACCATCCACCATGGGTAATCATTATCACATTTGACACATCAGAGTCACAGTATTCAGCTTCACAGCAACCACAAGTTACCTCTGTACAGCAAATGGACAGACCAGGGCTATATGACATAGAAGAATGTTTGACCAGTAGCAGTGGCAAATTTTAACAGGATAGCAAGTAATAAATATTGGAGAGGACGTGGTGATTTAGGAACATTTGAACATTCTTGGTGAGATTGTAATATGGTACAACCACGCTGGAAGGTAGTTTGGTGTTTCCTCAAAAAGCTGAACATAGAAATTCCACATGACCCAGCTATTCCATTGCTTGGAATATACCCCAAGAAAATTGGAATTGAGATACAAATGAAGATTTGAATACCAATGTCCATAGCAGCCTTACTCAGCATCACAGAAAAGGAAAACAGCCCAAATGCCCAACAAAAAACAAATGGGTTAAGAAATTGGGGCACATTTCATATGATGAAATACTATGTAGCATGCAGGAGCAATGATTTTGAAAAGTACAACAGCATTGGGAGAGAGTGGAGTACATTATGCTAAGTAAACTGAGTCCCATAAGGAAAAAATATCGTATAAGACTATTATTGCAGAAATAGATAATTAGTAAAATGGATAAGAGGATCCAAGTGGGGGAGGGTAAGAATAGAGTGGTGAGGATTGACAATCATAGGATTTTACAATTTGATGGGTAGAGGTGGGGTGGGTAAAGGAAATGGGACAGATCCAGCATGAAAAACAATGTATATGAACTTTGTAAGCAAACCAGTATAAAAATAAAAATTGCACTTATAAAAAATCTCCATTAAAAAATTTCTTAAGAAAATAATAAGATGCATAACAAAAGGAGTAATGTGATGCCACTTGTGTACTTTTAACAAAGCATTACATTGTTGTTGCTTTTGCTATGTGCCATTGAGTCGCCTGCAACTCATAGCAACCCTATGTACAACAGCCCTAAACCCTGCTCTATCCCTTGCCAATCTCATTGTCTCTAACACACCTATCCCCATTATCTCAGTGACTGTATCAATTCATCTCATTAAGGGTCTTCCTCTCATGCACTGTCCCTCCACCCTCCTAAGCGTGACGTCCCTCTCCAAGGACTGATCCTGCCTTGCAATATGTCCAAAGTATGTCATACAAAGCTTCAGAATCCTTGCCTCCAAGGAGCAGCCTGGCTTCACCTTCTCCAGGATGAAACTGCTTGTTGTCCTAGCAGTCCATAGTATACAATATACATGGTAACACAATACTCTTCTCCAGCACCACAGCTCAAATGCATCAATTCTTCTTCTATCCTCTCTAGTAATTTTCCAGCTCTCTGATGCGTAACAAGTAATTGCAAAGACCATGGCCTGTATCAGGCACAACTTAGTCTCCAGGCTGACACCGTTGCTCTTCAGTACTTTGGAAAGATCTCTCACAGAAGACTTTATTACATGAATTTGTTGTTGCTGTTTATATTCACACAAAGAAGTATATGTATAATGTAGACTGATTTGTTAAAACCCAACATATATTGGTGGAATTTGCCCTCAATTCTTAATAATTCTGTTACTTATTAAGGGGGGGGGAAAGCTGTTATTTTATTTTTTAAAATTTTATTTTTTGTGATTTTAATGAAAGCTTACAGAAAAGTTGGATTTGCCTTCCTTCATTGTTGCATATTGCCCCCCCTACCTTACCCCCAATTCACTCTATTTTTTAAATTTTTTTCATTATTGCACATGGACCAGATGAATTTTTTTTAAAAAAATTCAAAGCACAACACAAGAATATTTTTTTAAATTTAATAATTTTAATGA